CTGCATTCCTCTGTGTTATGTCCGTATCTTTGTGATACTTGTAATACTTCCTACTACTTGAAAAAAGGTGTCATCTCTCATCAGAGTTGCCTTTCTGAAGTACTCATTATCCTAAATGGTTTTGTCATGGTTATCTTAGTGGTGTTTTTCGAAAGGCCCCGTAATTGCCTCAGTGATCATGGTACTGCGACAATCAGTGATGTGGGGCTTTCACTAGCCTCCTTTGATCCTTGTGACAATGGATGAGGTTGTTACCCTGGTGGTTCTCATAACATAGGTAGATGGATGGCCGTGTTTTTTTTTTCGGGTTGCTTTCTGTTGCCTTATGGTTGTTGTTTCTGGTGTCTATGCTTGACAGGTTTCAGGGCGTTCTCATAGGCGACGATATAGTTGTTGACCATCTTTAGTAGCTCAGCCAAGCTCTGTGGCTATGCTAGTTGAAGGTCTGAATAGAATCTTTTCGACCTCACTCTCTCTGTCAGTGCAGCTTGGTCCATGTTTGGTTTTAGATCCTTGACATCCAATGTTTTGCTTCAGAAACTTGCGATAAACAACTGCAAGCTTTCATCGGCTCCCTGCTTTGGTTGCCATATGGATTAGGCATTTTTTCTTAGGCCTCGGAGCACTGACAAACCACGATAGAAAAAGTCTCCTAAACTCTGCAAAATATGTGATTACTCTCATTGGCAAACCGTCAAACCACCTTAATGCAGTTGATCTCAACGTTGTGAATAGTAGCTTACACTTGAGGGCATCATAAATTTTTAACAGGTATAAGGATGATTCAAACAACGTGAGATAGCCGTTGGGATTTGATCGTGCTTTATATGATTCTAAGATGGGCATCTTGAACTTCTCCAGGGGTTCAACACCCGAGACCTGTAGGAGAAAGCATTCTCCGACTGCCCTATACCTCGGTCCACCCTTCTCGGTTCCTCTCCTCCACAAGGGCGAATTCAACACTGTCTTGGTATAACCCGCCGTCAAGATTCTCTTGTAGGTGGATCGTTCTTATCCCATTGTTTGACAGTGGTTCCCCCTGAGGGGGGATTAAGTGCCTTCTATTGGGTCGGTTCTCCTTCTAGAAATGGGGCCCCCATAAGGGCAACATCCTCTTGAGCACCTCTATGAACTGTCCTGACATATGCCTGGTGATATATGTCCTCAAGTCTTGCAGGCCTTGCTGGATGAATTCTTTCATGAACTCCTTAGTGCATGCTGCTTCTGCCACGTTCCTTTAGCTGGATTCTCCCTTTGTTGTCGCTGAGCTCTTCTTCTTGTTAATGACATGTTTCCAACCTTGCCACATCTTTAAGGATGTTAAATCCAAAAACTTCTGGAGAACACAAATATAGAGCATTAAGTGAGAGAAGTAGAGGATGAGAGAATATCGTAGGGAGCAGTAAAGAAAGTGTCACCTTTATTCAGATTATAGACCACCTATTTATATGCCTAAATCCCAATATTATAAAAATACATATTAGTCCCCTCATAATTAACTTTTTAGGAATTTTTAGTAATCACATAGTTATTCATATATAATAAGATTGAAGGTTAACTTGATCGATAAGAGTTTGTTGATCATCCGACAAGCCTCGAATCGATCGATATTTCATCCAAATCGATCGGTCTGAGGGCTAACTACCGCTCTAGGAGAAATCTCTTGGCACGTTCTGATCGTTAGAATAAGATGCCCCTCTCACCATCGCCAGCCCAAAGCAATCACCAACAACTATTTATTTTCTATTTTAATAATATATTATACTTGGCTCTGATTAATAATAATAATAATTAGAATATCTGCGTGTCCCTCTTTCACCGCACAAATTATGAGCCATAAATTCAGGGAAAATTTTTTAAAATAACACTTAGTTTTTTTTTAAATTAACATAAAAAAACTAATGAAAACCGACAAAGTTGCCACATCACCGTTAGGGCAGTCAAAAAAGGTTGTTCGCTAGTAGCTCGTGTTCGGCTCGTAAAATAGCTCGTGTTCAATTCGTTTGTTAAGTAAATGAGTTGAACACAAACAAGTTTTTAAATAATCTTGAATTAAAATCGAGTCGAACACGAACAACTCTTTGTTCGCTCGTATTCGGCTCGTTTTAGCTCGAAATTAAAAAAATATATAATTATTTATATAATAATAATTACATATATTATTTAGATAATAACATATTATATATACTTATATCTAAGTTTAAATCATAATATCTCGTGTGGTAATGTGGTTAGTGTCCTTTTTTATATATATTTGATTCAGGTTCGAATCCCACACTTTACATCTATTTTTTCAATTTAATTTTTCCGAGCCAATTTCGAGCCGAACACGAACACACTGTTCACGAGATAATTTTGAACATGTATCGATTTCGAACACGAGTTATTTCGAACGAGCAGAACACGAGCCAAGCCTGAGCTCGCTCAAGCTAGGCTTATAAATTTTTTTCGAACGAGCAGAACGTCAACATGAGTATCGATTTCGAACACGAGTTATTTCGAACGAGCAGAACGTCAACTTTGCTGCATGACAACTTATAAATTTTTTTAAATCTGTAAATTTTTTTTCTAATTAGTTTTTGAAAAGTAAAATACAAAAACTTAAATTTTGGGGCATTCAATCAATTCCTATGCATGTAATTGTCTAACCCCTAAATTTTACTGTTCACATTTTATATTTATTATTTTTACAGTTTTAAATTTATAATTAAATTTAATTTAGGGTGTTATAAATGTAAAAATTTGCATCGGGTGTTACAAAAGTATGAATTAAATATAAAAAATATAAATGTAAAAATTATAAATATAAAAATGTTAAAATAATTGTTACATTTATAGCACCCTAAATCACAATTATAAATGTTAAAATGTAAAAAATAAAAATTTAGATGTTAGATATGTAAATATATAGGAATTGAGTGGTATGTATCTAAATGCCCCTAAATTTTTTTTACGAGGCTTAATTTTTTTTGTTTTACATTTTTTTTTTAATCCAGTGCCTTAGTTACGTATGCTTGAGATTTGAATTAAAATATTTATCATCCGACACAAATCTCACGACATGAGACGAATCTTGAAACGATATTTTGAATAAGAAACGTTCAAATCTTGATAAAAATTCATCCAGAATTTCGATTTCAACAAACTTATAGTCAAACTTATCGGTTCGATGAGACAAACCTAATGATATAAAATCTAGTTCGATCCGAGCCAAATAAAGCCTATATCAAGTCATTGAATCACTCTTGAAAGATTTCGAAACACATTTGAAAGGTCAAATAGATGCTGACACTAGCAAACTTGTACACCCTATTCGAAAATCGAGCGTCTTGACAAGACAAATCCAACGAGTCAAATACCACTCAATTTTAACATCATTAAGTCACTCAAATGTCCATTAAACACCGTATGATTGAAGGAAACTCTCTAAACCGTTCGATCAAAATGATTCATATTACTGCATTAATTGTACTCAGAATAATATAAATAGACCCTCTACCTCTCATATGACAAGATGAAGTATAGATAGAGACTCTGAGACATTGAGGAGAATTTGCAGTTCAACATCACCGCCGACTGCTGTTGATTACTACCGACCGTCGTCGATCTCCGCTGATCGCTATCGATCACCACCGACAGTCGACTACCGCCAACTGTCGTCAATCCTCGCCGACCTCCTACAACCACCGTCCACCATCATCAATCATCACCAACCAGACACCTTCATTCGACGCTGTAATCTGAAAAATATAGTTACCCTTTCGTGTCTGTGAGACAAGAGATTTCCGTAATCATCAATCAATAGTGAATTTTCGTAACTGGGCCAGACCCTGTGATTCTTACCTTCACGGGATTTTCATGTAAAAACCTCTGGTGTCACTACTGTATTTTTCTTTTTTATCTATGTGTGTTAAATTCTTGTCTAAAATTAAGATGATAATTCACATCAAATATAATGAAAACAGCAACTTTGAAGAGCATAATCATTAGAGCAGTTAAAATGGTTCATTAATCGCGAATATGCTTGTTAAATTCATTCATCAAATAAATAAGTCTCAGCAGCAGCAGGAAAATAAATTTATTTATTTGTTTTCGGCTCAAAATAATTAATTATTAATGTAAAATTTATAAATGTAAAAATGTAAAAATTAAAATTTAAGTTTAGAAATGAAAACATTTAAGGATTGAGTGGTACATTATATATATATATATATATATATATATATATTGTTAGATATGTAAATACACAAGAGTTGGTTTTTTGGAGTATTTTTTTTTTAAATTATTAAAAATAGTTTTTTCAGATTAATTTTATTATTTATTATTTATTTTTTGCAAGTCGGGAGGCAGCGGCGACTTTAAAAGCCGTTTGTTCTTTTTTAATATATATATATATATATTTTATGTGTTGATTAAAAATTTCGCCTAAAACCAGCGGGCGAGACGTCTCGTTGTCCACCACGGGGCAGAGGACTCCCGTGACGGCTCTCGACATCCCGGTCAGCTGAGCGGGACGCGTGGCGACACACAACTCGTCCATCCGACGTCAGATACTGTGCCACAAGAGCACACGCAATCCTAGTCGTCGACCCACCGTTAGGCTTCCGTCTCCTCCGCCCCTTCTCTCTCTTTTATGCCCCCTACGTATCAATAATTTACGGACATGCCACTCTGAGCGCATCGAACGAGGCGGAACTGTACGTTCATTTTTATTGTTGGGCGACGTGTACTACACTTTACTCCACGTGTCCCTACATTTAAGGCGAATGATTTCAATTAAGAAAAAGCGGGTCCCACAAAATCGAGCTCGGCCGCTCGATCGCTGCGCCTCAACGTGTCGATCATCGGACGGTAGTTGGCCGTCGACGTGGGCATCTTCTGCACTCCATTATCTTACTCGTGGGCCCCACAACCCAACGGAAAGGGACTTGGGGAAGGCTAACATGCCATATAAATAAAGAACGAGAACCTTTTGGTACTTTTCAATTAGATGAGGAAAGACCTTTTGCACCGTCGCTGGACACCTGTCGTCTTTTTTCTCTCTTTTTATCTCTGTTTGCATTTGGCACCGGGGAAACGAGGAAATTTAGGACGCACTTTTATGTGCGCTGTAGGTTTTCTTTACTTCTTCCCCACGAGTTGTTGGGGTGGAGACGATATTCTGATCGAAGGGCATTCTTTCGGAAGAAGATGACACGAATAGCGAGTGTGAGGGTGTTTGATTTTCGGAAGGATTGTGTTTTTTGAGTTATTTAGGGCAGATCATGGGAGCTGGCATTTCGAAAGTTTCATCATTCTCTTGGTTGCTGTGTCATTGATCTACCAGACTGGACCTCCATAAGAATATTGTCCCCTATGCTTGAACGACTGCTTGGTTTTCTTTTTTCCCGAAGCTTCTGTGCTCGGTATATCTTGCCCCTTTGTGTTAATTAACACAGATGGTTGGTTGCTATACAATTCGGCAGATGTTTTCCTTTTATTCAACTTCTTTGTTTTGCAGACTGTAATATTTGTAATGATTTAAGAGATGAAGCCTTGGTAATGCTGAGAAGCTATTATTAAAGAGGTGTATGATCGGATCTCGGTGCTTACGTTCTATTAGGATTTTCTTCTCCGGGTAAAATTTTAAGGAACACCGTGAAGACGCAGAACTGGATATGGTAGATATGTCCGGCCAATGAAGAGGAGGACGAAGGGAGGTTTGAGAAATGAAGGGATGCGTGATTTGTAAAGTTTTTGGAGGCCTTTACTTTGCGAACTTCTACTGGCAAGTTGTTGAAGAGAGAAATTTAGTGAGGGATATTGATGGAGGAGAGTTCTCCCGTGCTGGCTCTTCATGTTAGTGTTAGTAATTCGCTCTTCTCTAGTCCAATGGAGGATGCCCGTTTCAAACTGATGGCTGATTCTGCAAGCTTGTTGTCTGATTTAGAAGAAGCTAATTTGATTTCAGAAGCTTCTGTGAATAGTATTTCGCTCAACATGGAAGTACACAATATTAGGGAACTTGTGACAGGATGTGATACTGACGATCTGGAATCAAGGGCCCTAGCAGGATGTGAAGATGAGGCATCTGTAGTTTGTATTGATGTGGAACAGCTGGTGGAGAGCTCCGGCTTGGCTATCCGAGATGATGGCAGCCTTATAACTGCTGCAGAAGAGTTGTTGGATGCAGATACGGCCTTAATTGGTGTTTCAGGTTGCATGGAAGCTACTGTGAAGAGCATCATCACTGGTGTAGAGATAATTGCGGGCTCTTCTATCGGAAAATTGAGTGCAAGTTTAGTAAGCATAAGCTCAGAGACCGAGGATTTGAAAGCAGCGCGATTTGCTCAGATCAACCTACATGAAGGCCCGGTAAATATAAGGGGTAGGCGGAGTGTCTTTGCCCTGGATTATACTCCTCTTTGGGGGTGCATGTCTACATGCGGAAAGAGACCTGAAATGGAAGATGCCGCTGTTGCTGCGCCATGGTTTCACGAAATTCCACTTAGCATGCTTACTAGTGTTGCAATGGTGGATGACATCAGTATGAACTCTGGCTGCTTGCCTGGTCATTTTTTTGGAGTTTTCGACGGCCATGGTGGTGCTCAGGTACTTTCTTTTTTACTATTCTTAGCTTTCATTACGTTCTTATATTAGTCTTAAGGATAAGAATGATATGTCCAAGCACTTTTTCATCTGTTTTTCAGGTTGCTAACTACTGCAAGGATCGCATGCATTTTGCATTAGTTGACGAGATAAAGAATATAAATAAAGGTGCCATTGGCATTGAAGGCTATAGTTGGCAAAAGAAGTGGGAGAGTGTCTTCATCAATTGCTTTCAAAAAGTAGATGATGAGGTGAGTGGGGCGGTGGGTAGAAGTTTAGAAGGAAGCACATCAAATGCCTCTTTTGATGACAATGCCCATGGTTCTTCCATTACTTTAGAAGCCATTATTCCAGAGACTGTTGGATCTACTGCTGTGGTTGCTGTTATCTGTTCATCACACATTATTGTGGCAAATTGTGGAGACTCGAGAGCTGTTCTATGCTGTGGCAAACAAGCAATACCTTTATCTGTAGACCATAAAGTAAGACCTTCATTTTTAGGTTAATTTCTATATGCATTTTTAATTTTATAAGAAATTATATCTGACAAGTAGACTGCCGTATTTTCTTACCTTAAAACTCAAGCCGGATAGAGAGGATGAATATCAAAGGATTGATGCAGCAGGAGGCAAAGTGATCCAGTGGTATGGGTCCCGTGTATTTGGTGTTCTTGCAATGTCAAGGGCTATTGGTATGTCAGCTGCTATGTTTTTTTGGAGTATTTGAATTTGAAACCTCAAAATTTAAAGTTCCTTTTCACCGTATTTGCATAGCAGTTATAATTTCCTCTAAAAACTTTAATTTAGAATTATTTATATTTATGTGACTTTCCTTTTCATCCATTCGTTGAAACAATTGGGAAAGTAAACGACCAAGTGCATGGTTCCATCATCTTGATGGCATGGCTAGGTTTAATAGCCAATCTTTTTTTCATGTTTTTTCCTTTAAAATTTTTTTCGTCCTATTAAATCCCATCTAATACTTACAATTTCCACCCGTTGACTACTTTCTTAGTACTTTTAATAGGCTATAAACTATTTCTAGAATAATAATTGGATAGAAATACTCATCTTGTTACAAAATTATAACTAAGAAATGAAATAAATAATTACATAAAAATAGACTTCAACTATCACTTGTTTGATTATTTAGAGACCTCCGATTGATGCCAATGGAGTCAATATTCTTTTTTTTTTTTATATGCATACGTGGCATCTAATTTTTCTTATCTTGACTTTTTGATGCAACGAATCTCAAGAATAGATGGTAAAGGATTGCTATTTCAAGTTTGCTTATAATATTCTTGAATGGGGGTTATTGAGCCCTTTAATAAATATGTTAGTAAATTGTCTTCCTCTTAGGATATATGTAGTGCAAATCAAACAACTTTCTAATTTTTCTTTTATGAAATGTCTCTTTACTTTAACATGTTTGGTACAATCATTCTGTTCCAGATTATGAGCATTGTTAATGGTAAATTTATTATCGCAATCTATCTTCATAGGACTTTCCCACTTGATATGTAACTGTTAGTATGATTTTGATCTATAAAAGGCTTGCAAATTCATTAGGCATTTGCCCTAAATTCAGATTCAACAATAGATCTTGATACAACATGTCTTTTTTCCTTTCTAAGTTATAAGATATCCTCTCAAGAATGTGCAGTATTCTGAAGTGGACCGTCAATCCACAAGTGATTTAGCATTGTATGCATTAATATATCATTCAATTTGGAGAGTATCCTGTTCTTTATATAGAATTTTTTCTTGAACTTGATTCAAGATAACTAAGAATTCTGTAAGTAGCTTGAATGTGGGATTCCTTAAAGTTTTGTGTATGAATTCACTAACATGACTTATTGTTAGTATGATATAAGGTCAGGCGTGAGTCAAATAAACTAATTTCTCAATTAATCATTGATATTGTCCTGTGTCAACTTCAATTTCTTCATCTATATCCAATTTTTGATTTGATTCAGTTGGGGTTTCAAACAGTTTTTATGTATCATTTTTGTTTCTTTTAGTAAATCTATAACATATTTTTGTTGGGAGGGAGGGATTCCTTATTTTGATTTAGAAACTTCTTTGCCCAAAAAATATTTGAGTTTGCCCAATTTTTTTATTTCAATTTTTTTGGTAATTTTTTTTAAGGTTTTCTTTCTCTTGATTGTTATCATCTGTAATATCAACATATATTATGAGATTTCAAATTTTTTTGTTTGAATGTTCTATGAAGAGTTTATGTGCTCACTAGCTTTGTTTGTATTCAAAACTCAGCATGGCTTTTGTGAATTTGACTAATCAGGTCATTGGTGGCTGTTTCAATCCATGTAAAATCTTTTTAATTTGCACGTTTTGCTCTTTTTGGAGGCACTTTTACATTTTGGTGGTGAATATATAGACTCTTTGATTTTTCCATGCAAGTGTTCATTTTTCCCATTATACAATTTGATCTACCATTCAAAGTTAACAGTAGCAGAGATCAAAATACGGATTGTATTCATTTTTGCAAATGGAGCAAAGTTTTTTAAAGACAATTTCATGATTGAGCGTATTTATTGGCCACTAATCTTGTCTTATATTATTCCAAACACTCATCTACTTTATGCTTTATAAAAAAAGTTTCGATTGCATCGAAAAAGTTTTTTTTTGTAGGACCCCAATCTCTAAAGTTAGATTCTCATTAAGGGAATTCATATCTTTCTTCGCAGTTTCCACCAATTCTTATTTCTGGTGGATCAAATAAAGCTCGTGATATTCTAACGGAATTGGAGTTGATATATTTATAAAAAGAGTTTATAAAAAAAATTTCGATTGCATCAAACAAGTTTTTTTTTTGTAGGCCCCCAATCTCTAAAGTTAGATTCTCATTAAGGGAATTCATATCTTTCTTCGTAGTTTCCACCAATTCTTATTTCTGGTGGATCAAATAAAGCTCGTGATATTCTAACGGAATTGGAGTTGATATATTTATAAAAAGAGCTTTGTGTAGAATAAAAAATTTGAAAGGATATATGGTGGGAGATGGGCGGTACAAAATAGTGGTGATAGGATGATCAGTGTTACCTAATAATGATTTTAAGATTTGAGCTTGTTGCAATTTTAGGTTTGGCATATTTCGTTTTGGGTAGACTTAAATGGGTACAGTAGTATGATGTGCTGAATATTTTCATCAAACTTGAATAAGCCGAACTCATCAAACTTATCATTCAGTTGGATATTTTCCCCCTTATTTTCATCAAACTTGATATCTGTTGAAGTAAAGAATTATTTTGTACTAGGATGATGTCGTTTGTACAATTTATGAGTTAGGAAATACCCAACTAAAACACACTTAAGAGCTCTTTGATCCTATTTTCCCTTTTGTTGTTTGTTGATATGATCATAAACAATATAGACAAATTTTTGGGATAATCTTTGAGAAGTGATTTGAGGAAAAAATTGCTAGATCATTTAAAATACTTTTAGAATCAATCACTTTTAAGGATATTTTATTATGTAGGTGGAAATTAGACCAACTTATTGACAATATTATTTTGGTACTTGATTTTGAAAGTGAAGAACTCTCCTAAGTTCTTGAAGAGGATTTTTTCTTTCTGCTAATCCATGTTGTGGGAGGAGTGTCAGGATATTAAGATTGGTGGATGATATAATCTTTATGAAAGAAGAATGATAATGTGGTAATCACGAGCATTATCAGTTTAAAACATTATGATATTGAAATTGAATTGATATTTTATCATAGTAGTAAATGCATGATTTTTGTTTGATAGTACATCCAATTCATTTAAGTGCAATCATCAATGAAGGTGAGAAATTCTATAGAACCTAATGTATTGCAGATACTAGAGGGTCGCCGAATATCAGAGTGAATCAATACGAAAAAATGGAGGATCTAGAATTATTTTTGAGAAAAAAAAATGATATTTTGCGGTTCACAATTCTCATAATGGAAATCTTTAATATTTACATTCATAAAAAGAGGAGGAAACATGTGTTGTAGAATTTTGAAATAGGTGTTTCCGAATCTATAATGATGTTCCCACATGATGTCAGTATTGTCAGTGTAAATAAGAAAGCATGATAATTGATTGTGCACCTTATGAAGATATAGCTTGTAAATGCATGATCTAGTAAATGCATGATCTAGAATTATTCTATAGAAATTCTATAGTTCCTTCTTCTTTTTAGATTGCATAATTGTCTTCCCCATAGTTGGGTTTTGAAATAAACAATCATCATTAAAAAACTTTGATTTTGCAATTATGATTTATGGTAATTTTATGGATTGGTAGAAGGTTAACTGCAAAATGAGGAACATGTAGTTGTTGTGGGTAAAATTAAAAAAAATAGAGATTCTCTTATCCCGCAACAATTGTTAAGAAATCATTTGTTGCTTATTTTTTTATTGATGTGACATGGTTTTAGGTTTGAAAGATGACAATATTTATCATATGGTTAGTGACACCAGAGTCAAGAATTCACATTTGGGAAGGTGTAGCTGAGGCACTAAAGACATAAGCAACACCATTTTGAGTAAAAGAGCATGATTCAAATGATTTTATCAAGAATCAAAATGGTTACTTAATTTAGTTTCTTTTCACTTGAGTCTATTTATATTCTCAAGCTAGGCCTATCCTTTTGACTTAGGGATTCTCATGAAGTTTTCAACGTTACTCTTTGATGTGTCATTTCTTCTCTTTGAGGGGAGGCTTTTGTTCTTTTTTGGGAGAAGGATCTGCAACAACAAACCCTGTATCTTAAGATTCATTGGTTGTCTTGGCATATGTTTCGGAAATTGAATTATTAAACATCACAGTTCTTCCTTTTCAGCTAGCTTAAGAGAGGGTTTAGAGAAGGCAAGTTTTCTCTACTTAAGATTTGGACTCGAACTTGGTCAAATTCATTATTATGTTCTACAAGAAATTCAAAAACTCTTTTTATTAATTGCTTGAAAATTGTTGCATCTTCACAACACATCATCTTGAGATCTTAGTAATAATTCAATTCAACTTAGTAAACTTTCATGACATTAAAATATTCAATTACAGAAAGGTTGCTTTGTTCAGTGGCGGAGAGTTTTGTTTTGATCTTGCGGATAAGTGTAACATTCTTGACTTGAGTAAGTTTGTTTGACAATGTCTCAAATTTTTATTGTGGTAGATAAAGACATGTACAACCCACAAATTTCTGGCATTATAGTATTCCACAACCATCTAAAAGTATGTATATATTTCATGTTTGTTGATTTTGGAAGTAGATACACAAGATATTCGATCTTTTTTTCCTTCATGAAGTTTTCAGAATTTGAGACCACTTAAGATAATTTTTCTAATTCAAACAATATGAGGTGTGAAGTCCCTGGAGTTCTTTTTTAATCTAATTTTCACCAATTTTCACCAATCATGATGTTTAATTCTTTATAAGGTAAGTTGAGGATGTTAGACATAATGAAGTGAAGGAAGAGCTCCGACTAAAATTAGAAGGAAAAGAAGTGTAAAGAACAAAGATTTGAAATAGAAAATCCAAACTTTGTTCAGGTACCATGTAGAATAATAAGTGTTTAGAAAAGTTTAAATTGTTCATTCTTTAAAGGGGTATTTATATATACAGTACAAATTAAAAAGAAATAGCTATCCGTCGTTTGGTTATTTAGAGATCGATGATTAATGCCAAAAGAGCAATCCATGAG